AGTTTGCCGGATCGTTCGTTTTGTTGACGCTTTGGGATACAATTTCGGCTACGCGTCGCTCGTTGATCTATTTGGGAGTTAAAGCATTAGCTATAGTCGAAACGGGGACACGCTGTAAGCCCGACAGCGTAGGAGTATCTCCAATTGTGAAATTGTCCTCGGGCCTGCAGAAGAAATGGCACTCTTCACCGTTTTCACCAGTTTTTACGCTGCACCGCTCCAGCAGGGATGACTTGGTGCTGTGCACAGATGTCGTCAGTCAATACTGTCCAGCCAAGTTTTCAACTCCACAACGCATAATTGTGATCAATTGTCAGTCACCAACACTTGAGGAACACCCTCTCGGCTGAAACACTTTCGTAGTACCCTCATCAAGAACACCAAGAGATGCAGCTTTCTGGCCATGGTACCCAATTCTTCGGTTTTGACCTCTGCTTGTGTAAGCATGTTTCACAGATCTTAGCAGTTCGGCCAATATTTTCATCTAGTCTGAGTCATCAGCACATCTGTCGTGCCAACGATTTCATCTTCTCCACCCCTAGATGATCCTAGTGCATATCTTGTGGCACTGCCTTGCGTAGGTGGGATAATAAGTTGATCGTTGCGGTGTAGTATTCCGTCAGGTTGAACACTGATTTCCTCATGTGCGCATAAAACGCTGGGAACGTCCGCTTCAGATCTGGACGCCATCCTTTTGACAGGGATTTTATGATCTCTGCATAATATTTTTTTATACATCGACGCAACTCCTGTCGTGATACCGGGGCAGCAGAAGCAATGAGCTAGCACCTCCTAACCGTCGAGAGTTTGGACGACCGCGAGAGAAAATCCGTTTGGGAACTTTTTGTCTGGACGATGCACTATGTTATAGTCGTAGGCAGCCGATGCAATGCTCCATCGCTGCATTATCTCCGCTGTCAGTTTAGAAAGCGACTTTTGTGGACTAAAAGAGTACTGCAGGGATTGATGATAGGGTACGATGGGGAAGCGGAGACCAAACAGGTATTTGTGCGATATACAATTAACGCTTCTTTCAGCGTCTGCGATCATCTTCGTTCTGCCGTGTTCAATAGACGAGAAATGCAGACAATCGGACATCCGCCCTGTTCGAGTACAGCACCAATGCCAAAATCTGATGTGTCAGTAAACAAAGTTGGGCGTTTCGTCGGAGAGAAGGGGCAAGTACTGGTCGGTCCGTTATCATCTGAATAATTGCACGCAGAAGTTGTTCACACTTGGCCATCAATCTCCATTTTGCAGTCGACTGAGCAACGAGCAGCGGTGATGAAACGTGAATAGTACTGGAGACATCCCATGATCAACCTGAGTTGGTG